TTCTTCTGTAAAATGGGGACAATAATAATAACCACTGTCTTATGGTTGTTGTGAATATTAAATGAGAAAATGAATGAAAAACCCTAAGCACAATTGTACCACATAGTGAGCTCTAAAAATAGACATTAACTGTCTGGGTCCCCTGGTCATGATTATTATATAATTGTTGGCTTAAAGACCACTTCCCCTGTTGTATTATCCTTAATCAAAATACCAAATTTCATTTATTCCACCAACTCTCAACCATATCACTACAGTCCATGTTTTTTCTCACCCCAGTGTCTCAGCATTAACAGCAGAGGCATAAAGGAACTAAGAGTAAGGACCATAAACACCATGATCACCAACATGAATGTGAAATTTATCCCTGTGTGTATATTGCTACTATTTTCCACACCAGAGGAAGTTTATTCTAACAACAACGTAGTCTAAATGAAACCTGCAACAATGCACCACTGTTAAACTTTGCAAAGTGGAAATTAAAAGCACTTGCTGAAGTCATGCATTTGAACATCTTCACCACAGACTGATCCCAAATTCTACTTTGCAGTTTTACCAAGTTCTGCACATCTAGATTGCTATGCTACCACTGCTTTACAGTGACCGAGCATCAAATCTTTGAAGCATATCCATAAAATAAACCCTCTAGTCATAGCATTCAGACACCAATGTTTAAGGGATTACTCCCAAGATGTGAAAAGACTCCAATCAGGAACTCTAGAGATATCTACAACAATCCAGAGGAAGAGTGTTATTTGCATATTCACTAGGTAACAGGTCATTGGGATTTTTTTTCTAAGTAGCCAATGCTCATTTCTAAAAAGCTTCATAAAAGCATGAATTTGTGAAAGATTTGTCATGTGAACTGTGAATTACCTTCCAGATAAAGTTAATTAGTGATGGCTTCCTGCATTTATTCATTTTTTAACATCCCCATAATTTATGTGTACCACTGACCTTCTCAAGGCTGACCTTGTCCTGTAATCCCAGGAGACCCTATTCCATTACCCTGCTCATGTTCTCCCATTCCTTTCCTCCTCCTTCCATTACCACCTGCTCTACATTTTCACATTGTTTTAACCAACTCCCCTGTCTTTCTTTATCACTTTAACTAGCCCTCTGCACAAATTCAATGTGAGAATACAGGGGAAATCTATAAAATAGCAAATAGTTACCTAAAATATGCCATGGGATATAAAGCTGCCGGCTGTATTCATCATTGGCAAATGACCTAAACATATCTATTTATTCTTATAGCCTCCCTGTTCATCTGCAGCTTCCAAAACTATAAAAAGAAATTTCCACGATAACATCACACAGGTATACTAAGATTTATATAACCAAAGTATTCCAGACAAGTTGCATTTAAAGCAAATCCTATTTAAATGTAGTAAAAAGGTAACTGTTTAAGGAAATACTATAGCATATTATTTTATATGAAAGAATAATTTCATAAAGCACATTGTTACCTTCTAACTTAAGAGTTTTGAATACCTGGATCTTTTTATAATTGATTTACTTAAAATAAATATCAACTATAAACCTTAAGAGAACACTTGTTTTACTATAGACATATTTCTCAGAAATATCAATTTTAAGAGAACAGCCAGAAAATAACCTTTAAAAAACCTTTAAAAATCTGAAAATCTTGTAAAGCTTGTATATTTTCAATACTCCATATTATAGAATGTCATATTATTCAATTTTATAATTAAAAGGTCCCATTAATTTCACATTGAAATTCTTACCCTATGCCTGTATACTCCTAAACTCAAAATAAGTTAATATTTCTCTTTAAATAATCCCAGCTTTATATTCTGAATTATGAGAGGACAATCTGTTTAATTTTGTTTTCATAATACTCAGCATACAAAGCCAGTATAGCATACATTGCAAAAAGAATCAGCTTTCACACAGCAACCTCTTTAGCTTCCATTTCAAGAAACCATTTTGTTTCTACATGAAGCATAACATTTAAACTATTAATATTTAAACTTCATATTTCTCATGTGAATCAACATTGACCCAAAGATAATCATGACTTAAATTTGAATTTTTCTTGTATCTAGTTCATTGCTTAGCATGTAATATATACTTAGTATATTTTTTATTTGAATGGTAAATAAATGATTTCTCATTGATTGAGGTTGCTTTACCCACATAATCCCTTGACAGGTTTCCTGTGGTTACCAATGACCATCGTATTCATGATAGCTTTTAAAAGTTTAAGGGAAACAATTTGGGGTCTATGGAAATATGATTGTTTTATGTGTGTGAACCAACATGCTTACAAGAAATCAAAAGCACCATTCTTTCTTCTAGTGTTTCTCAAAGAATCACTCTTAGAAAGCATATACACAAATGCCTGGACAAAAAGGTAAGTAAATTCTTTATCTTATTGATGTACTAAACAAGAATCTGAGAGAAAGACATGGGAATCTGTATTTGAAGATTTTTCTCTTCATCCTTTCTGGGTCTCTCCACATGACTCTGATGTACATTAAATTTTGTGAACCTATTGGGCACAGTGACACATGACTGTCATCCCAGAAACTCAGAAGGCTTAGGTAGGAGGATTAAAAGTTTGAGGTCATCCTGGGCAAATTAGCAAGACCCTGTCTCATTTTTTTTTTAAATGAAAAGGGCTGGGGATGTAGCTCAGTAGTAAAGAGCCCCTGGGCTCAAACCTCAGTACTTACCAAAAATATAAAAACAATAGGGGGTGAACCTCTGTAAGGGATCCAGATGAAATTTGAATCCCACAGTTCAATTATACTAAAAGTTTAGAGCAAATAAATCAATGCCTTATAAGATACACAAAAAGTGGCTCTAGCTTTGCCTTTCTAGATTCTAAAATAAAAATAAAGATGCAAATTGTTGCTATCATATTTTATTAGATCAGAGTGTAAAGGAGATTTGGTGTTTAATTTATTATTGTTCAATTTAAACATAAACCAAATACTACAATATTACAAACTGTAGTAAATGATTGCAAAATGAATGTGTTTCCCAAGCATCTGATAAATATTGGTGATTGTAGTCAAAGTGACAATGCCATAGCCTTTGTGCATGGTCAGCATGGTCAGGTCACTTATTAATGATGTATAACTGCCTATGATTGAATATTCTACCATGAATGAGTCCAGGAAGTTTAGTTCATGTTGAGGAAAACAGAAACTAATCAAAGGCAAATATTTGGAATTTGGGATTGGCCTGATTGATATATAGTTATTTTTTAAAAGCCCATGAGAATGGAACACACCTTGGTGCCCTTCAACAGATGAATGGATAAGAAAAACTGTGGTGTATGTACACAATGGAATATTACTCAGCCATAAAAAGGTTGACTTTATGACATTTGTAAGTAAATGGATGGACCTGGTGATTAGCATGATAAGTATAATAAGCCAGTCCCCCCCCCAAGAAAAGATTGAAAATTTTATCTGACATGTGGAAGCTAACCCACAATAATGGGGAGGGGGGGTGATAGATATTCAGTGGATTAGACAAAGGGGGATGAAGGGAAGAAAGAAGAAATAGGAAAAGAGAAGACAGAAGAATGAATTTGAAATTATTTTCCTATGCACATATGTGAATACACCATAGTGAATCCCATCATCATGTATATCCATAAGAATGGGGTCCCAACTAGAATAAGATGTATTCCATGCTTGTATAATTATATCAAAATTAATTCTACTGTTATGAATAACTAAAAAGAACCAACAAAAATAAATAAAAAATAAAAGTCCATGGGGGAAAGAATAGCAATTCTAATCCAAACTATTTAAACTTTCACAGAAGGTGCTCTCCAAATTCAAACTAAAGTAAAACTGTCATTTATTATGATAGAGAGTGGACAAAATGTGTGTACACTCTCACTTAAAATTTTGGAAAGGACAAAAAAAAACAAATTTAAATACACATATGGGTTTTAGCACTGAATTCAGCAAGTATTAATACAAGTTGACTGATTTTAAAACTACCCCAAGAGATCTTGCAGACATAAAAAAAGAAATAAAGAAGAAAAATGTATCCCTACCCTTAGCAATGGCATGATAATTAACTAACTGGTTGATGTAAACATTAGGTGATTAAACAGGTAATGCCCAAATACATTAATCATAAGTAAATCAATGTAATCAATATTGCAATTTTCTGAATAATTTCAAAGTTCTTCATAGCTCAGACTTTATCCAAAATACAAATGTGTATATGTATATATACAAACATACACATGTGTGTTTTAAAATCATATGTATTTGAAGTATACAGCATGACATTTTAATATACATATATATGGTGACTTGATTACTGTAGTCTAGAAAATTATCTCATAAAGCTATTTTTTCACTTTTTTGTGTTAAATGTACCTGAAATCTATTCTTTCAGCAAATTTCAAGCAAACACTATAACAGTATCAACTAGTCATCATGCTATATGTTAAATCACTAGACTTATTCCTCCTACATAATCGTAAATTTGTATATACTTTTTGACCTACATCTCCCTATTTCTATTTCTCTGCCCCACCTACTCTCTCTTGATGTATATTCGACTTTTTTTTCGGATTCTACATATAAGTGAGATTATTATATATTTAAAGTATTTACATACTACAGGTTGAATATCCCTAATGTGAAATCCTAAATGCTCCAAACTCCAGAACTTTTTGATTGCTGATATGAAGCCACAAAAAGAATACTCCATACTTGTCATCATGTGATGGGTCAGAGTGAAAAATACAGTTGCACTAAAATATCATATAAACTTACCATATGGTTATATGTATGTATACATTAGGCTCTTGATCCTTAAATTAATCATATTCTACATATAGCACTTTTCAGTGAAATTTATTAATAGTATGCTTTCCAACTATTTGATTTGCAACCAATTCTAAGTTCACAGAAAGTTGCCTCCTTGAACAAAACTCTTTCTTCCCAAACCAAGTTACATTTAGCATTTAATTTGCTGTATTTGATAGAACCAATTCCTACCTGTAACTTTCAATTCAGTTGTTCGTCTTACAAGTTTCCCTTCATACTTAAGTTCACATGTGTAATTTCCTCCATCTTCTTCTTGAACTTCCTGGATTAGAAGAGCATTTCCTTTCTGTATTATTATACTTCTCCACATTTTTGGCTTGCATTCCTAAAGAGAAAATATTTGTAAGTAAATCAAAAATAAATATTCACATCATTATATTTTCATGCTGGCAAGTTACTGCTTTCACTTTTTTGCATTCTTCTCTTTAGTTTCAAAATAGGTAGCTAAGGAGTTAAATAAATGACCAAGCAACATCATAAATGTATATTATTTTATCTCATTCAAATATCATCACCCATCACATTAAGAGCCACTTAAAATACCTGGCACCAATAGCCAGAAGATTTATGAAGCATTCTGCAAAATTATAAAAGCATACAAGTCCCCTAAATGTAAGAGATATAGAGTAGAACCTTAAAAGTTGCTAAATATATAATGTCCTTTTTTTTTGTACTTGACATGGGTATTTCCTAAGAGTCCTAAGAGGATATGGTTCACTTAGACATTTAGCTTACTCCAGGGGAGTCTTAAGCATTATTAAACATTCATAAAATGCTTTTTCTTTGGCAAGGAAGTTTATAATTCTTTCATTAATCCCTCCTTATTGTAAAACTAATACAAATACTCCAGAGCCTCCTTCCTTGTGGTCAAGATATCCATTATGAGGCTACAAGAAAGGGTCTAGAAATTTTGGTTGAAAGAATTCTCTAGAAATGCAGCTAGGGAAAATAAGTATGTGCATTGAAAGAAATCATCCACTTATTTTGTATGTTCAGTGACCAGAAAATAGGTTTGAGTTTTGAAGCCAATTTGTTTTACTCCTTTGATGGGAATATGAGCAAGTCTTACTACTGGGATTGGACTACCTTAGAAAGGAATGCATAACACTTTTGCAGACAGTGACACTATTCCAGAGAGTGACAAGCAATAACAAATTATGTAAGAATATTCAAGAATTTTTGACCACGTGGCATTGTCTTTAGCAACAACTTCAGTCAACTTTGACATACTGTCCTGGTCTGTCTATTACTTACCACAAATTTTCAACCAAAGTGGTAACCAAACACTATACAAACATCAGTGAAGGCATAGGGGATAGCTGTGAGGGAGTGCTAAACAATCAAGGCAAAAATATGTTATCATCTAAATTATGTTTCTCTTAATTGAGGCAAGAAATTGTGAGACAGAGTAATTGGACAATAGTAAAAAGCACTTTCCACTTTCTTCATTACAGCATTTACAGTATCTGCATCTACTCCTGTTCAACCACACCCTCCTCAATACATCCTAAGTGTTCACAGAAAGTTAGAATCTATGCTGGCTCTCTAGCCTCAGATGTGAGTGTCTGTGTGTAAATGATTTGAGAGAGTAATGCTCATATTAGTGTTTGACCATAACAATTTTTCTTCTGTTTGCAGGAGTTTTGACAAGAAAACACAAAAACCAGCACTTAAGTTCACAGGTATAATATTTAAGAGATATACTTGCTTTATGTACAGTACAACTACCCACACACATTTTCAGAGAGTAAATAAAAGTAATATTATGGAGAACATCTAGATATAAGATTGCTTTACTCCCTAGGGTCTTTCGGAAGAACAGTTAAGGGTCTGTCTGAAATTATATTACGTACCATGTCTGGCAAGGTTTATCACCTATATGAGATTTGCTTCTGAGTTAAACCTTGGGATATAAGGTTTCTGGGAAAATGAAGAGAAAAGTCTGAACAGAGAGGAAAAAACAGCCCAGCTGCCACTGTCGTCATACAATAATAATCCACAATTATTTTCGCATTGCTTCCAACTCTGATAGCTTCAGATTTCTAAAGAATCATTCTGAAGGTCATTAAACAAAAATATGGTCCCTCTGGGCATTTTGAGAGGAAAGGAAAATGAAAACTGAGCTGAGGGTAGGCAAATGAGCCCACATACTCATTTTATTCAAAGATAAATGTTATTGTTTTCTCATGTCATTTGGTGGCAAAGTCCATATGCAATTAGTTCTAACCATTTTCATTTTCCCTGCTCACTGTTTTGAATTTCTCCCAGGAAGTAAAAACTAAAGAATGTATAAGCATTAGGAAATAACTCCTGACAAAGAACTGCCAGGAATATTTATATGTTCTTTGAGACAGATCTAGATAATCCAATGTGGCAACTTTCCAAGTGCCCACATCCAGGTTTATAAAGGATTATTTGTATCCAATAGGTTTGTTTTTTGTTTTGTTCTTTTATTTCTGAAAACTGTGGCATAAGAATATGCCACCTTCAGGTTACCTCTAACCCTCTGGATACAATGTTGTAAAGATGAAGAAGAAAACTGCCTTTAGGTTGAGATACCTCTAGGTTAAAAACCAGAGTTCACCCAAGTTTTGTGATCATGAGAAAATTTGCTTAACTTCCTTAGGTCTCAATTTCCTACTCTGCAATATGGTGATAATACTAATTACCATCAGAGCAGCCAGAACCTAGAGGCTTGCAGGATTTATTCATTATATCTTGTTGGGCAGCACTATATATAGCAGTCATCCAGCACAGAAATTGTTTTATTTCTAAACCTTTCCAGTCCTGGATCATGTCTCTCCAGAACCTCTGACTGTAGATGGTAAAAATTGGTGCTGATGGACTAATCATATAAAAATAAATCTTCACTAATTGGTTAACTATCCACCAGCAAGATAATACTTTAATGCAGTGCATTAAAAGTTCTTTATATCTATGTGTTTTCATTAAAACATCCAGATCCTAAGAGGCCACTCCAACACTAACTTTAGCAGGTAGTATCAGGAACTATATTTTGGTCAGAAGAACCCTTAAATTACCTCTCCCTTTATTCCATGTAGATGATCATCCTGATACTTACTTTCATCTACCATTCACAAAGTTACTTTTTTGGCCATTCTACTAAGGTCTGGATGTGTCTATATAGAAGCTCAGATGTTTTTCAGGCCCTTAAACCCATTATTTGCAATGTTTCTTCCCTATGTGACTGGCTATTAAGCTTAAAAGTTGTCACTGCTTTTCTCCTGACTCATATCTTCATAGTGGAAAATCAATGTCACCATACCTTACTGCCCCAGACCTGTTGAGAGATTAATTCTGACAGCCTGTTAGGCAAAGAAGTTTGAAGTACATAGGCTAAGTCTCAAAATGGTTGTTTCTCTGAGACTAGGACATCTGTCAAAGGCTCAACTATGTGCAAGCAGATAACATTGGCCTCAATGTGCAAATTCCCTACTATTCAGTGCCCCGAGATTATTAAAATAAATTTTATCAACTTGAAGACTGAGACCATTTTTATGAAGTTTTGCCTATATTCAACAAGCAACTTCATTTCGTGCTCTAACCATTCACAGAGCAGTTTGTTATACATATCCTTGCTTGGCCAACTTAATGGCAATATGTAAATCCCAGGTTCTTTCCTTCCCTTCTTCTTTGGGTGGCACACATCCCATGACAGAAGTTGTTGGCTTGGGAACCCTGAATACACCACAAAAACATTTATTGACCAAAACCTTTGAAGTGAAATGTTGCCAGACATATTTGGATATTGGAGTTTCCACCTTAAATATTAATGACTGAACTCAATCTAATTATGAGATACCACCTTCATACTCAGAGGTGCTTTTTAATCCATTTGACTTGTGGTTGTGATTGCATTTGTGCCATTCACTACACACAACTCATTCCTCATGATAAGTATATTAAAAAGATTGATTTAAATATTTCCTCTGGTTCTGAGTATCACAAAGCAGCTGCACAACCACAAGCCAATCAACTTCAGATTCCCAAAGCACTTCTGTTTGAATACCAACACCCAGGATTTCAGAACAATTTCTCCCTTTTCCTCTGGAGTCTGTCCTATCCCTTGAGGCACTCATATATGTCTAACGCACTTTAGGGAACCAAACTTTCTGCAAGTTGAATATGGAAGAGATAGTTAGAAACCCAATTGTAAATTAGGTATTAACCTTGCTGTTAAGGCTTGGATATATGGTGTTCCCCAAAAGTTCCTATGTTAATTCAGGAATATTCAGAAGTGAAATAATTAGATGAGAAGAACTGCAGTCTAATCAGTCCATTCTAATTTGAATAGATCAACTTGGTAGTAAACTGTAGGTAGGTGAAGTGTGATTGAAGGAGGTAGGTCATTTCAGGGGGTGTGCCCTAAAGGTTTCATCTTCCCTATAGGCTCTTCCCCTTGTTCTTTCTGCTTCCCAGACACCATGTGGTGAGCAATACTCCTCCACTATGCTCTTTTTCATAATGTTCTGCCTCACCTTGGGTCCAGAGTGATGGATTTGGCTAACCATAGACTAAAACTCTGAAGCTATGGACCAAAATGAACTTCCCTCCTCTTAAGTTGTTCTTGTCAGGTATTTTGGTTATATCAATGCAAAGCTGACTAGCACACTTGCCTTTTTTAACCCTCTCTCTAATCGATTTACCTGGGATAAATGACTCCAAGGAGTCCTTCCCTGCCCAATCTATACTTCTCCAACTCTATCTTTGTAGCCTTAATGTTAATATTGGGAGCTGTATTAGTCAGTTTTTCATGGCTGTGACCAAAATACCTGACACAACTTAAAGGAAGAAAATTTATTTGGGCTCAGTGTTTCAGAGGATTTGTCCATCATTATCTGGCTGGCAGAAACATCATAGTGGCAGGGCAAGGCAGAGAAAAACTGCTCAGTGCACAGCAGCTGGGAAGCAGAGAGAAAGAGAGGAAGGGGCTGGGGAGAAGGTATATCCCTCCAAGGCACATTCCCAGTGATCTACTTCCTCCAACGTGGTCCTACCTCCCAATAGTCCATCCAGCTCTCCAGCTAGCCAATCCACTGAGGAGGTCAGAGCTCTCATGATCCAACTACTACCTAAAAACCCCACCTCTGAACCTTCAATACATGAGCTTTTAGAGTACAATCCAGATCCAAACTATAATTGTAGCCCACAGTCATTGAACTAATAAAGTCTAGACTCAAACACTTGGACCAGAATCCCAAGTTCTATATTATTGAACATGCTATTAAGTCAATGTAAACCTCAGTTGCTTCATCTATAGAAAACAGGTGGTGATATTCTTTACCAACTGAGATGATTATAAGT